ATATTACACTTTCTGTTTACGAAACAAAAAGAATTAGCTGCCAATTTGTGCCTATGCAAATTTCTAAATGTTTTTAATTATCCGATAATCTCATTTAAATCCATAATTATGAAAGAAAATTTGTACAAATGTAAAATAAACAAACATAATATTTATAAAAATTTGTTAATTCATTCGTAAATTTTGTATCCTGTACATTTTTTGTAAATTTGTAGTCAACAATAGCATTATCTTTTATCTAAAATAAAATAATCCTAGGCAGCTTTTAAAACTAAATTGTATTGTGCACTGTACAATTGTTTTTACTACATTGACTGATTATTAAATAATTAAGTTTTGTAGAGTTTATGCAAATTCGGTGAATTCTCAATTAACATGTTTATTCAGTTACAGAAACCTCAACACGAAGAGATGTCGTATTATAATACGTTGGAGCTTTACGAAATATAAAAATTGTTGCTACATATTTTGTTTATGTTCTATACACGCATTTCTGCAACAAATTCATAAATCATCTGGAAATCAATTATTTCATTCTGTGTTTTTCACTCGACTCCAACGAATTGCACATTAATCATAAAACATGGCCGCCTCACGGAAATTCCATTACGAAATGTTTACGTTCACTATATTTTGTTTAATGTCCATCGGGAAGCGAAGAAGAACAACATAAAACAGTAAGCGTACTACATTGCTCTATAAGATCAATACATATAACCTCGACCTCGTGCAATGTAACTTTCATGTTCATGTATACGTAACACACATGTATACCAACTCTTTTCGAAATGGCCGTTGAGAAGAACGTCCTGATCAAGGAACTGGACCATGTAACTGTTTTCTTAGAAAAACATTCAGTTTGACGATGAAGTTGCATCACGATGTATAAAATATCAATGAAGTAACAGTATTTCAATCTTAAAACTTCATAGGGAACTATTGAATTGGCCAATCTTGCTTTTATCTTCGGTGAAATAGCATTAATCATAATGTGAAAATGAGTATTTGAAATAAATAAATAAATTCGAAAGCTGTTAAAAAATTATAGGACGAAGTAATCTTTGATTTAGTAATATGAAACTTATCCATTTCCTCGAACGAAGCAGGAAGTCTTTAACCAACTTAATGTACTGTCTGATTTATGCAACTGTAACAAGCTGTGCCTCTTTCGTCTGCAGATTAACAATGTTTCAAAAATTGTTAAAGGAAACATGCATAAATATAAATACATGGATAGTTATGTAATAA